CGCGCTCCACGCCCGCGGGGTCCCGGGCTCGCGGTTAGCTGCGGGGTCGCTAGGAGGCCCGGCTGCTACTGACCCAGGCGCAATAGGTGTGCGGTGTCGGGTGAAAACAACAGGCGATTCCCCCGTGCCACGCACTCCTGCGGGGGCTCCTCCTGCGCCGCGCACACGCACCCAGGCAACCGGAGACGCACCCCGGAGGAAGCGCCTGGCTGCCTTTGCCAAGGATCCCGCTCCCCGCCGCTTGCATCGCGGCACAAGCCGAGCCTCCCTCCCCAGGCGGATCCCTGCAGATCACTGGGCCCGAGAGCGGCTTCGGGGATGGAAAGCACCGGCCCCTTTCGCCACAGCGATGGACCATCCCCTTGTGCCCTGCCTCCCTGGGCCAGGGAGCCTCTCCAAAGCAAAACCCTACCCCAGGCTCGCCTGCTCCCGGGGATACGCGGGGCCTCGGAGGGGGAGAGCTGATGGCAGCGCTCACTGACCGCCTGGGCAAGGTGGGGTGCTGAAAAACAGGCGGCAACAGATTGTGCATGGGCGAGATGGCAGTCGGGAGACCTTGGTTACGGGTGTCCCTAGCGCTAGCTTCAATGCCAAGGTGTCACCATTTTACCGCCCTCCTGCACGGAGAGAGGCGCTAAAATAGGACCATTTTACCACAAATTCCCCCTCGCTCGTCTTCCCGATCCCTTGGCACTCGGTCTAAATGGCGTGAAACGTGTCTGTGGGAAAGCCTACCACACAGAGAAAGACACGCATGTCACTCCCACATGAGTCGAGCCCCACCTCCCTTCTATTATAACCAAGTTCTCTCGCCCGCGACCCCCACCTCTATTACCCCCGGACACCGAGCCCGAGCTGAAGCCCACAGAAATCCAACGGATCCCTGAACACACCCCTGTTCAACACCCAGCCAGACACCAGCATTCACCCATCTGCTTTCTCCCCAGACACACCCACACACCCCGAGCTTTTATTACCCCCCAGACGCCCCCAGGCCTGGTGGCGCCCGGCACATCCACGCCAGGATATGGCCATTCGGTTATTCTCTTGGCGTATTTCCGGATAACGTTATCCTCGCTGAAGATGAAGAGGGACCGGTTGACGGTGAAGCAGTTCTGCTTGACGGGGATGGGGTTGTAGAGAGCCATGGTCCTGGCTCGCTGAGCCATCGACTGCTTGTACATCCTTTGGCCGGGCGGGGGGCCACC